AGAAATAGGAGATAAGGTAATTTTCTTTGTTCCACTTTAAAAATACTTTCAAAAACGTGGATTTTATCACGCGCAGTAAAACAATGTGATGTCTGCTAAATAAATGGGACAAAATCTGATTGTTTACATTATATAACATTGGTTTTATATTTTTGAAGTGTCCCACTTCCTCCACTATAATTTTCTTCTAAATTGGTTATTGTTAATGAATTGCCTAATTTTATTGTCTACAAACAAAAAAATAATAATAGTTTCATTATCTCGCTAAAATTCAACTTGTTCAACATAATAATGGCTAATAAATTTAAAAGCTAAAAACTACTATAAAAAAGCAGGCCTTTCGTACAACTGAACCCATAAATAATTCCAGTATAGACTTCGTTATTTAGGCCTAAAAATTAAATCAGTACTATTGAGTCTGGTAAGGCAACCATTTTAAGCAGCTTGTGTGAATTAATAACGGGTAAATGTTTCAACTGTAGCAAATGTTTTACACGTTCTCAAATTATTACCTGATTTCATAACACTTACTTATTTCCACTCAACATGAAAAAAATTGATAAATACCATATTGCTGAAGTATTTCAACAATCGGTTGAAACTACTTAAATATAACCAATCATCACTTTTTCTATTAAAGTAAAACAGTAACAAATTGACTGACGTCGTCTAATTAATTTAACCAAACGATTCTTGTAATTATATGCTAAAGCTCAATTTGGTCAAACTCAAATTGAGATCAATTTACTTAAATAAAAAGTAAACCAAATATTTTAAAAAACTCTAAAACTTGCAGATGGCTACAAAACTAAATCTTTCCTGTAAAATATAAACTTGACAATCTTAATTATGACACTGTCGTTTAAAAGCCAACGAATCGCAAATGCAAAATTAACCAACAGCACAAACCTTACAAAAAAAAAAAAAAAAAAAAGGAAGAAGTGTGAAAATGGAAAAATCGCATTGAATCGCACGCAACTTTTTCGATAAAAAATGACTCGCAAGAAATCGTTAGCATGCTAATCGAAATCGCAAATAAACCCCATCCCAATTATCTAACTAAATATCGCAATCGTAACTTATCACCCTCGATTTCTTATCTAAAAATCAATTGCAAAATTTTCTGCATAATTGCCAGTGCTTAAGCAATAATGCTATTTAATCTAATCCAATTAATAAAAATTATTGTAAAAGATCTAAAAGTATTATCATTATAATTGTAGTATATGCTTTTCAGTATTTACAAAATTCGAAATCGCTTATGGGGGTTTAAATATATAGATTATATCCAAATATGCTGCTTTTTAAAGTAAATTCTTTGATTTGAAGAATGAACAACAAAACAAATTTAATAATTTAATAAAAAAAAATTTATATCGTTTTTTTTATAAATAAGCAATTAATAACCCTTCTTCTGCCTACTGTGAAAGTTTCTTCATATAATTTATGCATATTGGTTCAACTGCCTTTATTAGACTTTTTAGTAATGATTTAAATGAATTATTTAAATAAATCTATAAGTTTATCTCAAGCTTTACAACTTAAGAGTACATTAAATAATAAATTAATTTTTTTAAATTCATCCAGAAACGTTAAAACATGGCTAGAAAAAATGTTAATATTTATGACCCAATGTTTCTGCGAACACAAGAAAAATTTTTTGTATCATTATTAAAGTCAAAATAATAATATATTTTTAAATATTATAACACCAAATTGTTTAGTAAGTTACTTGTGTCAATCATAATACCAATCAAAGTATTAATAAAAAAAAAATTTTATGTCAAAAGCGTATATTTATAAGAGGAGTATAATTATATACCGAGTCGGGGCTAGGCTACCCCACACTCCCATTGAGGGGGGGCAATGAGTTTAGGGGCTCTTTTGGAAATTAAAGGAGTTTTTTTCTTTTAGTTATTGGTAAAAAAAAAGTAAAGATTAGAAAGCATAAAACTACAAAATATAGTATAAAACTACAACATAAAGTTTGTAATCTCCTTAAATTGAAAGGGGAGAGGGGAGTTAAACTTAAAATGATCATAATATTTAAACACTAAAAGATTATTGTATGAATTTTAAAATTTACCGGTTAATTCAAATTTAGTTAAAAATAGTAAAAAAAAAAACATTTTATCAAATTGCTCTGACACTAAAATTTTAGGGCTTTTTTGTTCCCAGACTCCATTCATTACAAAAAAATGCAACGCATTCTTTTTTGACATAAGCATAAACATATACGCGTTTGGAGTTTGCTCCATGTCTAGAAGTTAGCTCAATCATCTTAATCATCAAAAAATATAGCATCCGTCTGATAGTTCCTGAAACGAAACTATTGCACAAACCAATGATCTAAAGGTCAGTTTCCACTCATCTGTTTTTCGATGGGATCAAGAAAGGAAATGGAAAATGATCACCTGATCTATGCTTAATATAATTTTTAGTTTTTCTCTAGCAAAAACTCAGTATGCTTACATAACTATTTTTTGTTTTGCCACTCCATTCCAGTCAAAAAAAGATAAGATCTCTTAAGTTGGCAGCCAACTGCAACAGTAAAAAACTCATGTATAGACAACATCAAAAAAATATGCATCAAAATTTCATTTTGCTTTAAAGTTAGTTTTTAGAATTAGATCATTTTGCCTTTCATCCTCCCAAACGCAATAGTGGTAGAGCGCTCGCCTTATAAGCGAGAAGTTCCGAGTTCAATCTCCGCGACGTCCCTGGTAGTACCGCACTCAACTTGATTCTTCGCGCAGCGACCTTGTTCGTATTTCAAAGTTATAGAGTTAAGAGAGGCTTGTAATCACAAAAGTAGCCTCCTCGACTGTAGTGGCTTTCATGGCCTTGGAGAAGGTAAATTGAAATTAGATAAGGTTATATAAAGTCTAGAGCCCCCTTTACTTTTTGATTTTTTACTCTTTTGAACACTTTACAGGTTTAAAAAAAGGGGATAATTAAAAAAAATGTGGTTTTTAAATTTTATTTTTAATAGTTTTCGTCCATCTCACTACTTGATTGAGAGGTTAAAAAAAAAACAGAAGCAAAAATAACTTTAACTAGAAACTTCTGCATCATCATTGAGTTTTTTTTTTTTTTTTTACACCAAGTCCTTTTTTTTAAAAATGTTTAATCTCTACACAACTATGATGACTTTTTTTTAGATGAGATGTATATACAAGTTGAGTAAATGCATTTCTTTATTAAAATTTTTTCTATAAAACAAATCCATAAATATAAGAACTGATAATAAAGCTTATAAAAATCATTTTTTTGTGTGTTAAATATAGTGTTGATGGATAAAAATAGTTAAAAATAACTTTAAAACGTTTTCTTTTGTTTGAAAAATAATTTGATAATTCCAAATGTAAATCTTATTTAAAAAAGTCAATTATATGTCTGGCAACAACCGCAAATGCGAGATTAGGAAAACACTCGATATTCTAAATCCATCTCAAAAGGGGTTTTTTATGCTGCAGTCATACACTTTATTTATCATACTGATTGAAGAAATCTTCAATAATAAAGCCGGAGTAGAGATCATTTTTTAAAACCTAAGCATGCAACTTTGCTGTTATAACGCTGTGTGAAACGTACTGCTAACTTTTTTTTTACACCTTCACTTTTAAAAAGGCAGCAAGCAAACACTATTAGAGTTGTAAGTTACTGGAAGAGAAAAGATGAAGTTTAAAAAGTAAGATATCGAATAACAGAAGGCTTAAAAGGTGGCAAACTATATTAATCAAGTAAACAAGATGAAGAGATCGAATTCCAAAAAACTGATGTTCAAGAAAAAAAACTAGTCAAATAAGAATTTTTAGAGCACTTAGGAATATTCACAGTGAAAGAATGAGCCTTAATTGAATAACACGAATAACACGAGAATAAATTTTAGTAAAAAGTACAAGAGACGCTAGCTCTTTAAAGCAGCGCCCATTATAGGATTTATAGAAAAGAGAAAAAAAGCGACATTTAAACAATGTTACAATGGTTCAATGTTGGCTGCAAGAGTAGGTGCAACTATGATTACAATGCGTTTTTTCAACTTGTCTAAAAGAGAAAGGGCATCATTCACAGATCCACCCCAGATATGGCAACAGTATTCCATACAAGGACGAGTTTGAGATTTATAAAGATAAAGAATAGAATTCGGAGTAAGAAACTGGCGAGCACGATAAAGAGATGTAACCTTAGCAGATCCTAATTTTACGATGAATTTGTAGATAACTTAAGAGTAGCGGGGGTCAAAAGCCTTAGCCAAAATATTAAAAAGACGCTTTTTTATTATAGAAAACTCATTTTTTTAAAAACTAAAAAGCTTTATTTAAAAAAAAAATAAGTTTACTTTTATTTCTTCTTTTTTTAGCGCCCCTTGAACCGTTTGCACCCGGGGTAAAAGCCCATTTTGCCCCCATCTTGCTACGCTACTGTAAAAATCTTTGTCAATACGTAATGCAACTAATAATTTTTTTTGACAATGAATATAATGAGAAAACAGAAAGAAAACTTTTTTTCAATGAAACAATTTTTTTTTTTTTTTTTTTATCAAATATCATATGAATTTATTTTTCTTTCTTAAATATTTCTTATTCGAACATGTTTATTAAAAAGTATAAACAATACTCAATGCTTCATAAATGCAAATAATATTAAAAGAAACATGAATGGAAAAAAGAAACCTTTAATGTTTCTTTTGCAAATTGATATCCCGAGCACATGACATCCCTTTAAATTCGGTTTTGATGTTTAAGATAACTCCCTCTTTTTTTCTGGTATTTTCAAACTACAACACAACTTTTTGTTTTGTTGTGTTTTAAAAATACAAGCAAATTTTCGTTTTTATTCTAGCTATTTTCATATCAAAATTTTTTTTGACACTATATTTCAGCAATTTTCCATTTTTTTTTTTAATATAAAAGTGCTGTAACTTAATATCAAAAAAAGTTTCAAAACTTTTTTTTTTACATTTTTTTGCGACTCTAAAAAAGTGCGCAAATGTTCTTTGGATGTATAGCCTTTTTGGGAAGAAAACCTGTAGGCAAATATCACCAAGGAAAAATATTTTTATATTTATGGTAAATTATTTAATTACTTCACTGTAGTAGAGTCATTTCATTAAATCTGACTTAAAAAACTGAAGAATTCTAAAAGATAACTTTTAAGCTTAAATATAAACCTTAATTTAAATGTATAGTTGGAATGCCTAAAGCGCGAAATATTTTAGTTAATTTTGCATCTTCTGAAGACGACGTTCTTCCAAACGTTGAACAAGACGACGAAGTTAACGAAAATAAAATGCCTGAAAACGAATCATTACCAATTAAAGATAGAAGCGATTCAAATAGTCATAATTATACATTATACCATAAGTCATCTGAGCGAAGTCCTTTGATTTCAAAAGCTACAGAGAGTGATTCTGATTCAGCATTTGTAAACAATGTGGAAAATGATCCAATATTTAGTAAAGTAATACAAGCTACAGAAGAGGCTATTTACATTGGTATATTGCCTGAAAGGATTTATCAAGGAAGTAGTGGGAGTTATTTTGTGAGAGATAAAAACAAGGTATATTAAATATAAAATAGATTAAAAACTGATCCAATAATTTTTACCAATTTAAAAACAGTTTAAATATGCTTATCAAGTTTTCTAATTGAAAATTTTTTTATTATACTGCCATATTTCACATAAAATTAATGACTGTATGTCTAATGACATGTTAAATTTGTTAGGTAAAGTATGCATTATTTTCAGTTCACAATCCATTAAAAACCTTTACCCTACAATTTTTTAAGGTTTAAAAATTTACAAAACTATTATCAAAATGTAACTGGTAAATTTTGTGGTTTATAAGATCATGATACCATTACCAAATTTCTTGCTTATGAAGGAAGGGCTCTACCTCTACACCACTAATACACTATTTAGTATAGAACTCTGGACAAGATATCTACTTGCCTCCAGATATCTTCTTGCCTCTAGATATCTTCTTGCCTCCAGATATCTCCTGCAACCCAGGAACATAAAGTAAGAGAACAAAGTTAGGTTAGGATGAAAGTTTTTTTATAACTTTTTATAATAGCGAAAGTAAGCACGAATTATATTTCACAATTGAGTAGAATTTAAATTTAAAAAAGAATTATTAAATAAAAATTCAATTAAGCAAGACTTAAAAATATTTTATTACTGTAGTCAAAGTTTAATATTTTACTTTGATTTCCTACAAAATCTTCATTTTTTCAAAATATAAATTTATTATTTGTCGAAAAATAATTGTATGATATTAAAAATATTGTATAAAATAAAAAGTATATAACTATGAGAAATATTGTATCAATAGAAGTACAACTTTTTTCAGTTAAATCTTGTGTGCTTCTTCTAGAAAATTTTAGCTGAAAAACTAAAGTAATCTTTTTAAAGAAATGTTGTTAAAGAATATGTTATGATTTTGATTTATGTAATTATTTAGCTTTGCTAATTATTAACAAAAGGCACATGTATTTTTTTGTTATTATAACCTTTTTTTAAATGTTTGTTATTTTCTCATTATTTGTAACAAGACAAGATTGTTTAATCTTATCTTGTTAGAAAAATTGTTTGCTATATATATCATTCAAAAATAAAATTTGTGACTCTTGTCACCAATTAATGATTATTATACAAAATGTTAAAATAATAAAAAAAAATACATTGTATGACTTTTGTCAAAAATTAGTAAAGCTAATTAATTAAACAAAATTAATAAAGCTAATTAATTAAACAAAAGCTCATACATAGCTGTTTTAGTTAGGAAGTACTCTTTTCATAGCAAGTGAATCAAACAGACTGTAACTCTCTTGCCCTATCTATTGGATGGTTTTGATCAATGCTGTCCATAATGTTGTCTACTTTACCATCATCCAGAGGATTAATTTGAAAATTTGGACCTTCATTGTTGATGTGTTTTAAGTTCATTTTGGGAGGTTTCAATAGTGTCAATCAGGCCTTGTTTTAAATAAAAAATGGCTTACCACATTAGCTCGTCTTGATTTTGGCGTCATAAAATTTTTTTTTTTTTTTTTTAATAACTTTGTTTACTGTAATTATCTCTTTTATTTAAAAGGTGTCTTAAAGCACTATAAAAATTATTAACCTTTTGTAAAAGTTAAATAAATAGATTTGCTAATATTTAAATTAAAGTGAAAATTAAAACAATATTAAATACATTTTAAATGCTTATGTTTTGTATTCAAATGATTATTGTTTATATAATGTATTGTAATTTATATTGGTAATAACTATTAGAAAACAAAATGTAAGCATAATTATATTTATGTTAATTTTGTAAATACTGCGTATTTTGTAAGTATTGATTAAAAATATTTTAATCAATGTTTAAAAAGACATTTAATAACTAAATTAAAGTTACTAAAATATAGTTACTAAAGGTTTAAAAAACTTTTCATAAACAATTTTCAACTAATATTGACAAATATTGTAGTATTTGCAAATTGAGCATTAAGTAAAGTCATAAATTAAATAGTTTTTTTTTAGTGCAACTAAAGTAACATATGCTTATATCAACCAGTAAATTAATGAATTTAAGGTTGCTCATATAGAAAAAAAAAACTTTAAATTTAAAAAAAAGTTTTTTTTTAATATACCATTCAAAGCAAAAATTATCATTCTTTCAAAATATATATACATTTTGCAAAAAATACTTACTAATATTATATTACTTAAACTTTTTTTGGTCAATTTAATTTTTTTGCTAATAATTTCTATTTATTGGAAAACTTTGTTTATTATTATCAAAACTTTTTGATTTTATTCATTTTTTTGCAACTTCAAAGCTCAAGAGTTAAAAAAGCTTTTTGACTGAAATTTTTCAGTGTATGTTATTTAATCATAAAGATTTTAGATGCATTAAAATGACCAACTAAAAATAGTTTAAAAATTTTTATATACAACTTAATAAAAAAGCTATATATTAATTAAGCTAAGTCACAGAGTATGGTTCCTTTTTTTTTGTTTGGAGTTATGTTGATCAGTTCAAGATCCTCACAGTAATTTTAAAGAACTTGTATATGATCAGCAAATGTTCTAAACGTGTGGCTATACTAGAAAGAATAAAGGAGAAAATACTTGAAAAACTTAAGCTGCCAATAAATAAACAGCAAATATTTAAATTTATAAGTTAGAAAGAAATTTATTATTGTCAATAAATGTAGTTTTTATTATTTATTAATTTATTGCAATATATTTTTAATTTGATAATTATTTTAACTTTTTTTAGTTTAAAGTTGCCATTTCTAAGTTGACATTTACATAGAGTTTTTTCAGTTAAATGTTTAATTTGCTTTGTTTATCATTTTAACAAGTTTTTAACTCTATTTTTATATATAATTGTTTATATTATTTTATAAAATTGCAATGAAATAACTCAATAGTATCAAAAAACAATGGTGTCATACTGTTGTAAACACCAGAGTTAATACATCTATCTGTTTCTTTTGATTTTTTTTGGTTTTAAAAATTTTGCAATCATATCCAACTTCACCTTTTTGTGGCTCATTGTAATTATATCTTATAAAGACGAATGCCTCTCACCTTCCAAGTATAGAATAATGTTTTGGCAACTAAATTAGCTAAACAATACCATAAAAATGAAAACCGATAATTATTGGTAAAATCTAGCAGTAGATAAAAAATCAAACTATATCATCATACATTAGAATAGCCTAAATCTCCTCACAATATACAATCAAATTACAAATCTCTAGTTTTTTAACAATTATTATAATAGAAAAAAAAGCATTATCACTTTTTTTGTAAACTACATTAGGAACATCTTGAGTTAACTAGTCAACTACAAGATTCTCCATACATAAAGTATCTACTTTTTTGTATTATTGTGTGATATACTTTTTTTTTAATTCACTATTATATTTTTGTAAAATAAGCAGTTGATATGCCTTAGAATACCTTTCCAAACAAAATAGGTTTTCTGCCCTACTCTGAACTCAATAGGAAGTATTCTTGAGACCAATTACATAACCATAAGCTAGTCTCTGTGTTAATTTAGTTCATAGCATACTCTTTGACTTCATAGCATACTCTTTGGTTCATAGCATACTCCTTGTTTTGATGCATGTATTGAAAAATATGCTTCATCCAAATATATATAAATTCTATGCCTTTTAGAGCATCATATTTAAGTTCTTCTTTCTCTTCATTTTCAGGTAGATTCTGAATTAAGTTTATAATTCAAAGGCACAAAAAATAACCTTAGATTAAAATTGTTATACTGATACAATTATCAAAAAATATATGTAAGTGTTCCTTTCTTTGCTTCCTGGCTAAATTAATTGTGTACCTGATTAAGTATTTTTCCATGCATTAAAAAAATAATAAAATTATTAAAATAATTTAAAAAATATTAATAATTATGTACTGTTGAATTAAAAAATCTTATTTATTTTAGAGGTTCTAGGAATTAATTGAGGGAGGCAGGGCAAAGCTTTAAAAAGTACTGACTGTTTTTACAAATCGTTAAAAAAAAACCTTAAAACTAATAATTTCCTGGCTTAAATGTGTTAAATACCCAACTAGTTAAATATTTTTCTCAAAAGCAGGCTATATCTTGAAAATTGCATTCTTTAAGGTGAGGGAAGAGTATACCCCCCACCTGCAGAATTGCCTCTGCTTGTTTTATTTAAAAGTTTTCATGAGATAATCTTTTAAATAAATTCGTAGTTGCATTATTGCTGATGAAATACTTGAAAATGAAAGTACTTTTTGACTGTACCCTTATGTTTTTTGGTAAGCTTCTTAGAGCAAAATTAAATCATCTAAAATAGCTGATAATAATTGTGTTAAGTCTTATCTCCAAAATTTGGCCTTTTTGCCATGGTGCTACTTTTTCAGAATAGATTTTTTTGAAGTTATCTACAGCTTTATTAAGCTTTCTTTTATGGTAGTTGATTGTAGAAGTTGAGGCCTCAGTGATTTGTGTTTCTAAAATATGCCCTTTTACATGGATTATATCTGGAGTGCATGTTGTTATTAACTCATTAACATTTTTTGATGGAAAGAAACTTTCCGGAAATACTAAATCAAGTGTGGATCATTTTTTCTTCGTCATGATTTAGAAACAGGCTGTCTCTGTGAATTCTGCACAGCTGACAAATGAACAAGGAAGATGTTTAAATGAACAAGGAAAATGATCTCTTGTTTTATTTCCAAGATCTTTTTTTTCTCTTTTTCTTTTTTTTGTTCATGAACTTTATGACATGATGTAAGCATTGTTTTTATTTAGTTAAAATTTTGAATAATCAACATTTATATACATATATATATATATATATATATATATATATATATATATATATATATATATATATATATATATATATATATATATATATATATATATATATATATATATATATATATATATGTATATATATATATATATTTTTGAATAATCAACATTTATATACATATATATATATATATATATATATATATATATATATATAATATATATATATGTATATATATGTATATATACATATATATATATATATATACATATATATATATATATATATATATATATATATATATATATATATATATATATATATATATATATATATATATATATATAAATATACATATATATATATATATATATATATATATATATATATATATATATATATATATATATATATATATATATATATATATATATATGTATATATATATATATACTCTTGCATGTCTCTTGCGTGGCATCAAAAAAAGTTTCCCATAAACTGTAGTTTTTAAGAGCGCGTTAATAAACCAGACCAGAAAAAGATTTAAAAATTTAAAAATTAAATTTTTTTTTTTAATTGATAGACTGCCTGGCCAAACCAAACCCTCAGTCGATGTAGCAGCACTCTCTTGCGAGTCAGGCTATTTGTCAGTCGTTGTAGCAGCACTCCCTTGCGAGTCAGGCTATTTGTCAGTCGATGTAGCAGCATTTCCTTGCGAGTCAGGCTATTTGTCAGTCGATGTAGCAGCACTCCGTTGCGAGTCAGGCTATTTGTCAGTCGATGTAGCAGCACTCCGTTGCGAGTCAGGCTATAAGATAGTCGATGTAGCAACATTTACGCATGTTTTAAAAATGTTTTTTATTAAATCAATAACAAAAACACAACTAATTAAAAAAAACTTTCTAGTCGTTATAATTGCGGTTTTTAAAAAAAATTTTAAAAAACAATTAAATTTAATGTACTTCCGCATAAATTAATTGCTTTGACATTTCGATGACAATCAAAAACAGCTTAAGAGACGAGGTAATTAAAATTGTAGTCGTAAGAGACTTTTTTTACATTAAAACGCTCTTTCGACTACACTATAAGGGTATATATATATACATATATATATATATATATATATATATATATATATATATATATATATATATATATATATATATATATATATATATGTGTATATATATATATACATATATATATTATATATATATATATATGTGTATATATATATATATATATATATATATATATATATACATATATATATATATATATATATATATATATATATATATATATGTGTATATATATATATATATTCATATATATATATATATATTCATATATATATATATATATATTCATATATATATATATATATATATATATATATATATATATATATATATATATATATATATATATATATATATATATATATATATATATATATATATATATATATATATATATATATATATATATATATATATATATATATATATATATATATATATATGACATTAAAAACTTATACTTGAATATGAAGCATATTCTAGTTTTGTTTAAAAACCTGCCAAATTTCCAAAACTGTGCAGTTATTTTCTAAATATAGGTACATTTCATTCTTCTTTTTCAAATCATGCCTGATGATAAATTTTACACAAGTGTAAAACCATAGTTAAACTGCACATAAAATATATATATCATTCTTTTATAAGATAGTCTATGAAGCAACACTCCTTTGTAGCAGCAGGCTATAAGATAGTCGATGTAACAGCACTTCTTTGTAGTAGCAGGCTATAAGATTGTGGATGTACCAAAACATTCAAAATATTTTTATTTTTAAAGAATAAAATAAAAATATTCAGAATGTTTTTAAAAACATTGTAGTTATTTAATTTGCGTTTTTGTGGTTTTTTAAATTTAATTAGTTCCCAGAATTAAATTAATGCATTTTGTTATAATCTAACCTTAATTTTGTCAGTTTAAATACCACATATAAGTGAAGAGCTGTTTTGATTTGACTTTTTGGTACCTTCAGTTTCCAATATAAAAAGCAGATAAACTTTTGTTTGAAAGTAACTGAAAAGTCATTCGTTTTTATTTAAATTTTGAAAAAGGTCACCCACCATGACCCTTAATTACACACTGGCTCCCACCTATCAGTGAATCAAAAGTACCAGAATTTCATAGAGATTTCAGAAATAATATTGGTTTCATGACAATTCCATTTTACAATTCTATCTAGACTTGCAGGATAATTAGCATCAATGTACAAACCTGCAACAGTAATGGAAAGATTTATTTGTTGTAGAAACATTGCATTCCAAAGTTTATACTTTACAGTACTTTCCATTTTAAGACTATAATCTGTTGAAATAAAGCAAACAATTTCAGAATATTGCATTATTTTATTTATAAAGACTTGTGAGGGAATATTAATATTTACATTGTACCCCATTTTATAAACAAATGCAGTATTTTATAAACAGCCAGTCCAGCCATGTGGATTCTCTAAGAAGTGTTTTTGCTTTGAGTTTTAGTCAAACTTTCTATAGTATTAAGTGGATAAGAAGATTTCATAAACAGTTTCAGTGAACCTTAAATTTTTTAAAATTTCTTTGTTAGCTTTTGTTAATAATGGCTCATAATGAGCAGTAATTGGTTTAGCCTGAACTTTAGGAGTAAGTAAAGCTCACTTTCATATGCAGTATCTGTTTTATTACAGTTCTTTGTTTCATCAATCTACCAACTAATAATTTTAAAAACAACAACTTTTGATGCTAATTTATGTAAATTTTGATACAAATAAAAATTGATACAACTTAAAAAAAAATTGATACAAACTTTGTTTTTTTTTTTATATAACTTAGCTGGATTGATAGAAGTATAGATTAATAGTTGTATATCCTGGTAATTTTAAATTTATTTTACTTTTAAAAATTAAAAAATATTTTTTGATACTGGTTAACAAAGTTTGACATTTTAATGGTTCCACTTTAGTGTAAGACTTTTTCTATTCACATAGTTTACTTGTACAAACTTCACAGCATTACTTTTGCTTATTTTTCTATTCACATAGTTTACTTGTAGAAACTTCACAGCCTTACTTTTGCTTATTTTGCTTAAATGTTTTACCAAAGCAACCTGTTTATTGGGAACTTAGAGGTATACACAACGCAATACACATATATGTATATGTGTATTGAATTTTAAAATTAAAATAGTTAAATTTTTTTTTTAATTTATAGAAAATCATTGGAGTTTTCAAGCCAAAAAATGAGGAGCCTTATGGTCATCTTAATCCAAAATGGACTAAATGGATGCATAAAACTTGTTGTCCATGTTGTTTTGGTCGAAGTTGCCTCATACCAAACCAAGGTTATATGTCAGAAGCAGGAGCAAGTCTTGTTGATGAAAAGTTGAATTTGAACATTGTGCCTAAAACAAAGGTATTTCATATTATATGATATATTTCATTTAATTTTATATTATATTTTATATTATTTAATTTTAACCTGCAGAACTGATATATGAGTTGAATTTATTTGCCAAAGTTTTCATTGGATACAAAGATTCTTGAAATTCTTGTCAAGTCTTGCAAAAATATATTTAAGAAATTTGTTTTATAAACCATGTAAAGCTTTTTTTTTTTTTTTAAATAAAATGATTATTTCTACAGATAGTGAGAAGAGTCAATTTTAAAATTGAAATTGTTTAATAGAAAACTCTTGATTGTCAATTTTTTTAATACCCTCTTACATTAGATTATATTTAAATTTTTTTTTACCTATGGTAATACTTATTTACTTTATTTCAACACAAGAAAGCTTTTTCAATAGTTTGACAGTATCTAATTCTGACACTTGAGCAATATTTCAAATTTTCATAATTGATACGATTGTCAGCTATTTTTTCTTTTCCATACAGGTATTCTTCGTTTTTTTTAAAAGGTTCTAGTCAGTATGTTGCTGACATTTTAGTTGTTTAGTTATCAAAATCTAAATGCAAAGTATAACAAAATTACAAAGTATAACAAAGTATAACAAAACTACAAAGTATAACAATGTATAACAAAATTACCTTTATATCCATATGCAAATTATCAAAATTTATTAATTTGAACTAAATAAACATAATTATTCAAAAATATTTAAATTTTTGTTAAAAAAATCCTATAATGATCTTTTTTTATACTGAAACTCTTTGGATTTATACGCGCTTGAATAAATTAAAAGTCTGTAGATTGCCGCCTATATTTTAAAGACTTGAAAATTGTAATGGAGATGACGAACTTTGACCAAGACTACAAAATTAGTTTTTCTTGGTGTAAGTTTATTATTTTGTTTTAATCAAAAAAATTCAGCCTTGCAGACTTGCCTTGGCACTTTGGGATCCCTTTAAAAAAACAGACATTTTTTAATTTCAATTTTTCTTTTTGCTCTATTTTATATGCATGTAATACCTGTGTTGATTTAGTTATTTTACTGATACCAAGAATACCTTTAATTGAAATTGATTCAGTTGTTTGTAAATTTTTTTATTTCTTATATATAAAATTAAACATTCAGTTTAAATTTATATAAAAAATTGTTGAGAGATATAGAGTAAAACTGGTTCTAACTGCACACCATATCATTCTGCATGCTGATCAAAATTATCAAATAAACTCTGAACAGATATGGCTATGAAAAAAATAAAAATAGATTCAAATACAGAATTATCTCTTTGAATTGATAAAATTGTATTCCGATTCAAGTCCATTTTTTCTTTTTTTATACAACTTTATTGAGGAGTCAAAATTTTTCAATAGATTTTTTATCATTTCAAACAAAATAGCGCTTAAACCGAAACTGATATAAAAACAATTTCAGCACTATCTTTGTTGGAAATATAATTTTTATTCCGATGGTATAATTTTTATGCAGCTAGAACAAAAATTAAAAAATCTCTCTTTTCTAATAAAACTGTACATTCAATTAATTACATAGTTTAGTTTTTTGCAAGTGACTAAGCACCTATCTTTATCTAATTAACTTAGTTGCAGTTTAATTAAAAATGAATTATTATGTTATTTGTTAATTCAATCATCACTTACTCATTAAAAACCAATCATTATGTTATTTCTCAATATAATCATCACTCACTCACTTCAACTCAACTCACTTCAAAATGTCAACTAAAAAAATAAAAGCCTACAAGGAAGATGATATACTAGCTGCATGAAATGATATGAAAGAAAATAATATATCACCAAGAAAAGCTGCATTCAAACATGGCGTTCCAGTTTTAACACTCAAAAGATTGCAAAAATAACAACAACAAAGGCTTCCATGGGTCAGGTACAACAACGATACCCTCAAATAAAACAGAAAGAATGATGATGCATGTGTTCCATTCACTTTGTTACTGGGGTTATGGTTTAACCCAAAATGAACTCTTCAAATTTGTATGCGGCTATTCTAAACATGAAGGTCAGTTTCACTTGTTCATAAATGTCAAGCCTGGCAAAGACTGGTTTTATGCCTTTATGAAGAGATGGTCAAAAGAAATTTCAACAAGAAAAGCAGACTTAGCATCTAACAGAGCCACTTTTTGTACACCAGAAATAATTAATTGTTATTTTGAATGTGTCACCAAACAATATCAACAGACTGGTATAACTTCTGGGTTGCATATTTGGAATTGTGATGAAACAGGTTTTTTGGGTGATCAAGGCAAAACAATAGTGTGTTGAAACGGGATAAAATGTGTATTTAAACTTACTGGCAACAATGAAAAAATTTATTATACTGTGAACAATTGCTGCAGTGCTGGTGGACATTTTGCACCATCATCATCATGTCAAACAAGTGTTGAAAAAAATTCCTACTAATTATTACAAAGACTCCAAATGTAAGAATTTAGATAAACAAAATTTTCCACCATTGCATAAAACTGCTGTATGAGAGTGGTAAATGTTTTACCACTCTCATAATTGCAATTTCCATTTAATAAAAACAATACTAATCATAAGCCATCAGCAATTAGGGCTGTACCGGATTTAGTTTTTCCAAATCCGGCTGGAGCTGGATTTACCGGATTTCTACAAACAGATCTGGTCAAAATCAGAGCTGGAGCCGGATTTCAAAACAAAATATTACAGGAACCAAAATCCTGTACATCCCATTTTGGTGTTGAGAATGGTCAACAATGTGGATTATTCAGAATACCAAGTGACAGCTGTTTTCTGTTAAACTTCATTGTTGTTATTTAAAAAGTTTTATAGCAATTTCATTCTATAGAAATTCTATAAGCCATATGTTTCAAAAGTTTATAGAAATTCTATTGAACTTTTTTTCCGGGATGTTGTCACTCCGCCACTGTAGTGGATCAGTGTGTCTATTTATTTCTGGTTCTTAATAATTAAGAACCAGAAATAAATAGATAGATATTGCCTTAGCTGAGTGTCAATGCCTTTTACTAATTGTTGTTCATGTGCTGTGTCACCAGCGGACGTAGACTGAATAATTTTATTTAAATTGCCAGAGTAATGATGATAATGTAGAAAAATTATTCAGCCCGGCTTATTTTGCTGTTTTTTTTTCAATTTTGTCAATCTTCTGCTCAGCATGCTCAGATTGACTTCAATCTTGCTTTTTCAGCTGTCAGTGTTTCCTGTAATGAGGAGAATTTAGTTTTAAATTGTGGATCATTCAGTATCGTCACTTTATAAAGAGGTTTCAATTCTTTTAAAACGCTCATTCAATGACTTGATTAGGGTTGACATCATAGTCTTTACACCTGCATCGTTGTAGAATATCGTGTGTCTCCCCATCAGAATTTTGTGTTGTGTTGTTGCTTAAAATTAGGTTAAGCTTGTTAAATTGTAAAGAAATATAATATAGATACCAAAACAAGCATGAAGTTCATAAAATATAGAATTACAAAAAAAATTGATTAGTATAAATAAAACATTAAGTATACATGTACACACAGGCAAAAAAAATGTTATAAATATTTGACCAAAATTCAAAACTCTGACTAAAATTATGCCGGATTTGCTTATTTTTTTCCGGAGCCAGATTTGGGCTGGATTTGTAAAAATGGCCCGATTTCGGCCGGAGCCGGAGCCGAAATCCAGTACAGCCCTATCAGCAATCACGAAACTTTTAATCCACCATCATCAACTTTAGCAGCCTCCACAGCACCTACACCATCTTGCTCAGACAGCTTCACGATCTTTAACAGCCACCACAGCACTTATCCAACTACACACCGATTACCATCTTTATCAGCTACACCAGCTTTGAGTTTTGATAGGTATCAAGCATGTGTTAAGTGTTGCAGAAACAGTATTGAGATAGAGTTGAAGCAATTTTTTCAAGCCAGAAATCTAACACATATTAAAAAATTGTAGCAGTGCAACATGTCAAAACCTGGCAGACAATGTATTACTGAAGAAAATGTGATCAAGCTCCTCAAACATAAAGATAAAGAAAAAGCAACAAAGGAATTATTCAAATGCCTGAGCATAACAATGCTGAGAAACTACAGCAAAACAATTATGAAGAACAAGTACCTGCAGCCAAATGATTAAAAGTTCCAAAATGTAAAAAGTGTACACACAGAAATGTTACAATGTGAGAATACAATGTGTCGAGCAAAGCACAGTATAGAATTAAGAAAAGTGAAGATTCCTTGCAAAACCTAAAGAGAAAAGTTCTTTACCATCGTTATTTTCTGACTCTAATAAGTCATTTACAGAAAAAACTAGATGTTACTAAGGCTGAAATTATTTGGCAGCTTAAAAATGTGGATAGTGGTTTTTCTCTACGTTCACATGATGACTTAAGCTATGTTTTTACAGCTATGTTTCTGGAGAGTGCCATAGCTTCACAATTCCAGATGAGAATCAAAACTTCATACAAATTAAATCATGGTTTAGCTCCTTATTTTAAATCAGTTTTGTTAGAAATTTTAAAATTGTCAGACTTCTGTCTATTATTTTGATGAGAGTTTAAATGAGTTCACTCAAACTTTTGAAATGGATATTTATATTAGATTCTGGGATGTTAAGAAAAGATGTCTAGAAAATGTGTAAATGTCTATTTTTTGGATCAAGCATCTTAAGTCATACAAGACTTATTAACTCATTTCATGGATATTGTTAAAAATTTGAAAAAAAAAAAGCTATTCTAAATATAAATGGATGGTCCAAATGTCAATCTAAAATTTTTCGATGAGTTCAATACAAGTGTGACTGAAACTTTCTTACATTATCTATTAACATTGGACCTTGCAGTTTGCATTTGCCCATAGCAGTTTAAAAACTAGAGAGGTTGTCATAGAATGGAATCTGAAAAATGTTTTGAATGCCGTCTATTATATTTTACATGATAGTCCTGCAAGGAGAGAAGACTATAAGTCTGTTACTGGTTCTTTTGTCTAATCTCTTAACTTCTGCTCAACA